TCCCAGCCAGGCTTGCCCCCCACTCCCACTTTGTCAGCCAGCCCTCACTGCTCCAGCTAGGGAGCAGAGGGGTGGGGCCAGCCCTACTCTCTGCAGCAGATAGCACAGCCCAGCCCAGCCCAGCCCAGCCCAGGGCTGGAAAGCATGCTGGAATACTGTAATTTAAACTTGAACCAGGAAGGGGTCTGGGACAAAAATTTCATAAACCGGTTTGACCCAAATCAATCCAGTCTGATACTACATTCTACCAGGTTTTTCTTAAACCAGTTTCAGCCATTTTAAAACTGGTTTATGTGTTCTGAGCTTCTGTTCTGTTAAAGATTTAAACCAGTTTCTGCTCACTTAAACTAGTTTATTTGTAACTTCTGTCCCTAGCCTATGAGGAAAGACTAAGGGACCTGGGACTGTTCAGCCTGGGGAAGAGAAAACTGAGGAGGGGCTTGGTGCTCATCTCATGAAAAGGATTAATATTGAGAGCTGGGAGAAGAACTGTTCACTAGGGTGCCCCAGGGAAGACAAGGATCAATGGCCATGAACTGTTAGAGGATGGTTTCAGGTTGGATGTAAGAAAGAACTTCTTTAAAGTAAGGGTAACCAGAAACTGGCATAGACTTCTGAAGGAGGTGGTGCAATCCTCAACCTTGGAAATCTTCAAGAGAAGACTGGACAGACACCTTGCTGGGATCACTTGATCTCAGCAGTATTCCTGCCTAGAGCAGGGGGGGGGGACGGGACTTGATCTTTTGAAGTCTCTTCCAGTCCTTAATTTCTATGATTCTATCATACTTTCACCTTCACCCTTCTGCATTGTCTTGCATTTTGGGCAACACAGTGAATGCAAGACTGATTTTACACTGCCTAATGAGGATGCTTCTATCTTATGCCCCCTACGTACACTATGCACAAGTATAAGGTACAATGCAAAGCAGTGAAGAATCAGGCCCTCTTATTAAAACAATAAAACCAACTTTGTTATTTACAAAGGAAACAAAATTGTCCCCGTCGTCTGACCACTGAAACAACGCATGACATCAAATTAAAATTTAAGTAGGACTACTTATAATAGAAAATGCAACCACTTTACATTGTTATCACACCCAAGACTGATCGGGACTCTTGTTCCTTAAACAGTTCAACAACTCCTAACAGAAAGAAGTATGCAAAGTAAGTAATTAGGTTTCTTAATAGTGTATTTCATGAAGACTTATAAATGTGATTTCACATATTACCATTTTTCTCATACAGGTAAGCATTCATGCAAAGAAAGATTATATTATTGCCCTTCTATTTCAATACTTTTACTAAAGCTAATATGTAATGTGAGGTCAATTTATAATTATACTGTTTCCTTTTAGATAATTTAGACTTTTGTAATGTTAGTTAAAAATATTAACTCCCTTTTTTGGCAATCTAAAAGTAGTTTAATTCCTCAAAACACATGAATATTTCCATGATCCTTTAAAATACAGATAGTTTTGGTACAGTAACAACCATACCATACACCTAGTGAGAAAGCATGCTTACAATGCATCTCTTCCCTTTCATGGTTCTGCACAAATGGGGTTCAGCAAGTCCACATGGGGAATCTACAGCTCTTATCCTTGTATTTCCAGCATTCTCTAAACCCACTAATTGTGACAGAATCTGCTACACAATAAATCTTGAGAAGTCTGTGGATCCAGAGAATAGACATAGGCTTGTCAGATCGCTTTGTTTAGTTGAAAAAGGGACAAAGCTATTCCATCTTTTCTATGGCCATTTTCCATCAGGAAGCATCATTAACACACCCTAAATACACTATTGGAAGCATCTTTATGCTGGGTAAATTGGGCTATATTTGAATACCTTAAATTATACTACCAAACTAGTGCTTGTGTGGTTCCGGTATCTACATTAAAATATTATCTAAAGCCTTCATGTTGCCCCACGTGATTTGGGGATAAATTGCCTCAATAAATATTATTATCCTGGGACAGACTAAGGACATATGTATAGTGGTGATTAATAAAAATAATGGCATACTATTTTTTTCACTAGCTCCATTGTATATGTCATACCCTACTCAGTTCATCATCAAGAATTCACCTATAATTTATTCAAAAAAGATTTTCTCCTCTTATAGTTACAACACTACAGTGAAACCTGTTAATAATGGCCAAAGGGAGTGATAGTAGGTCTAGCTTTAACAGGTGGCTGCATAATGCTTTGCGATTAATTTAAAAAAAAAAAAAAATCCTTTTTGATAGGGGACTGGTGACTAGCAGAGTCTCACAGGTGCAGGGTCACATTAGCACAGATGTCCCCATTTCATAGATGACAAAACAAGACAAAGAATGACCAACCTTGTGACTTGTTCAAGGTCCATAATCACCATCTCACAGTTTCTACATTAGATTAAAATACGGTTGTAAACTGCACTACAGCAGGTAGAATGGGAAACCTGTTGCAAGCATTCAAATTTGTACCCTGATATGCCATCTAAACTGGTAAGACAATTCATCAACATACAGTATTTCAAAATTATTTGAATGAGAAAAAGTATTTATGTGGCACATCAGAATGGGACTAGGAGAATGAAACATTGAAGCTGGAGTTTTTAGAAATGGGTAAGCACAACTCTTTATCAGAAGGCTTACACCCACTAAATCAACAGAAGTTGGTTGTGCTACTGCTGTCATTGCAACTAGGACCAGGTCAGAGAGGCTGCAGCTGAAATATTATATAGGACAGAACAAACTTTTATCACGCTTGTTATCATGGTAATTCTTTAAATGATTATCTTTGAAAGATCTTATATTAGATAAGCTGGATAATTTATATTCCATGCATGTAAAGGTGTTCATGAGAGTGAACCAAAGGCACTTAAAAAAATTACAATAATTTAAATCTCACTGCTGCCTGTCAGCTGGAAAGAAGAAAAAGATTTGTGTTTTTTTTGTGACTAATACTAAAATACTACAGTGATAAGAAACTTGGTAAAAACTAGACAGACAATCAGGATCTGACTGTACTAACGTAGTTCATAGCTAGCATGATCTGACAGTTCCACTGAAGTTGCAACAATTTACACCAGCTGAAAACATGATGAACTGAATGTCCAGGACAAATCATCAACCTTCACAATTCATATAAAAATAGAGCACTAACATTTAAATTTCCTTAAACTACTCAAATATGCATTGAACCAACATAATTGTGACAGTATTAAGAGTTACAAACCGAAGTAAACATATGCAAAATACATATTTTTAAAAACATTACAATTTAATCACAACCAATTATCAACAGCTCATTGTAAGACACACCTGTCACACAGAAGCTACCATCCTGTGAGAGCTCAAGTTTCTGATATTGAGATGCCAGAGCTTTATAAAAAATTAAGCGGTATTTTTTTAAATAATGGAAAAGTGTCTTTTATTCCCCTCAACTACCTTTATCTTAGAATTGGATGTAAGGGCCCATGTTATGTTATTGGTAACTGAATTAAATTGCAGAAATATGTAAAAATATTTATAGAAAATTATGAAGATATTTTTCAGCACCATTGCATTCACAATTGTAATCACAGTGCACCGTGTATGTGCATTGTGAAGCTGATCTTGTGCTTCAATAGTTTGTTCAGTTTTTCTCCATCGAATGATCTGTGCAAAGACACAAAATGCACAGAGCACAAAGATTTTAATGTACATATTTTTGCAATTTCTCCTTTTTAAAATTACAAGATCGTTGTGTATATATTGTGTTCTCTTCCTATCTCATTGTAGTTCTTCTCATACCCTATCCTCAGATTTTATTACAAAATGACTATTATATTTAGGGTAGATCATGGTGTTGATAAAGCCAATAGCCTTCTGTTTGAAGCATAAGTATTCTGTTACTGTCCAATAGGGAAATCATAGCATAGTTGTCAGTCATGGAGTATGTGATTTTGTATTATCTAAGTGCTACACTCTGACTGAGGCACAATGTGAGAGGCAGTAGAAAAAGCAATAAATAAAAAATGGCCATGAATTTAACTAGAAAATAACTATGCTATTATTTATTCAATTGTATGGATAATATGTAGATATTTCCTTGCTGAAGCACAGAAATATATATGAAATGCTACAGGTACAAATTACACTATGCATACTATTTTAAGTGCTCATAAATGCTGTATTTTACATGTCATATCACAAAGCCATTACTCTCAGTAACAAAGTTTGACTACAAAAAGCATATTTTAGTAGGACAAGGTTAACAATGAAGCACATTTTCCTACCATTATAGAAGGCTGCCAAATAAATTCAATAAAGAAAGAGATCCAATGAAGTTACAGGTTACATGGTGGGATAAAAAGCTTGCAAAGATGTATACATCTGATTACTTTTAGACTGAAAGATTGACCTCTACAGTTCAATAGAGCTCCTTACAGGGTAAAATCCTGGCCTCACTGAAATCAATAAGTTTTGCAACTTCAGTTTCACTCCCAGTGTAAACGGAACACTTAAGTGCAGGACTGGAAATATGATTCAGTCTCCGGCCTTTAGAAGTTGCTAATTATATTATTTTTATTTGTTGCATTTCTTCCAAATATAAAATGTGCACTTCTTACTGATTTTTAACCAGAAATATATTCAAGGCTTCTTTTCTTGCACCTGCAATGTGCCAATACATCAATTTAAGAATGGTACAGTACACCTATGTAACCTTCTACAATAAACTTCAATTATTTTTAATAAAAAAATCTGTAACGCTTGTCAAAGTTTTGTCCTCTTTACATAATATTATTCCTGTAAGCAGTTAACGATCGAAGAATGAAAATTCCCTGAAAATATGACTCCCTGTGTGTGAACATATGCATGTGTATTTTGAAACATTTTTTAATACTACATAGATAAATCTATTTTTAAAAATGCCTTCTAAGATTTACATTTGTATATGAACTCAGCACCTATACCTCATCTGCATTACATGATAAAATATGTATTTATTGAGATTTATAACACAAAAATACCCACATCCATCTGTTACTGTATATGATGCTGACCCCGCAACTGATGACACACAGGCAGACTGCTACTTCCAAGCAAGGCCCCAGCCACTTCAAAAGACTATAAACAGGCATATGGATTTGCCCAGATGGAGTCAATTGCTGTAGTGGGGCCTCTGTTTGCATCTGCAAGAGCAAACAAACAAACACAAGTACAATCAATATTTTCACAGTAAGTCAAGTTACGAAGGCCACGCAAAACCCTCACCGAAATTGGTGGGAATTTTCCTTAAGTGTGGAGTGAATGAGAACTGATGGACTGAGCCCCACAGAATCTCCAACACATATACAACTTTGAGTATGAACAACACTTGGGCAAAAAACTTTTCGATCACAGTTAGAAGATTCAAACTCCTATATTCCAAAAGAAAAGCATATCAAAGCAGAAGAAACAAAGACATGTTACTTGCATATTACTAGTCCTGTTAAGTCTGAAAACACACTTACTGCAGATCTTTTTACAAAGAGTCCAAGTCTCAGAAAGTCTAAGAGACTAAGAGTCTCAGGGAACATGTATAAGAGATGCTAAATGCATAGTAGACTAATTCTAGTGTGCATTAGTGCGGCAGGAAAAAACCAAGCTAATACACAGAAGAATTAGTCTCCTGAACATTATGGTCACAAAAAAGCATGTGCCAGCACTACTGCGCAGTAGTGCTGGTTACTGAGCGTTGCGTTAGTAGTATCTGTTATTACAAAAGACTAAACATAACGCACAGTAACTACGGTGCATTAATGCACGTGTAGACATGCCCTCAAAAACTAAGTTTCAGAAAAGTTTTTGTCTGAACACAAGCAGCAGAACAGGGGCAAAGCTAAGAGCAGAACTCTCGATTCTGAAGATCCATTTCCTGTTCCCTTGCAGTAAGATACAAAGGACAAAAGTACTCAACGGCAAGCATACGTCATTTCAGGTATGTCAGGAGAGAGAACTGTTTGGTTTCTAACTCACTCATGCACTGACCTATTACTACTTACAGACACATAACCCACAGTACAAATCCTTATTCAGTACATTAAGCAAGAGAAAGGGGAAAGATTTCAACCTCAAATGCAAAGGCTGCCTGTCCTCAGCATTTACTGCAACCTAGTTTCATAGTAGCTAGGGTCAGGAGGGACCTGAACAGATCATCTAGCCTGACCCC